TTTTTTTTTTTTAATAAAACATCGAAAAAACTAATTTCATTAAATTCAAGCTCAAACGCGACTTTATCATTATATAATTGACCGTGCAGAGCGTTCGAAACTAAAAAGAATTTATTTCAGGATAGGAAGTGATTTCTGGCTCACCCTATAGATACTAGGCCATATAAATCGCATTCTTATTTTTTTTGCCATTCTCATCCGTCAAACTATTACAGGCCGATGGACTGGCGGAAGTAAAACGAAGAGAACGGTATCGTAGTGAATGTTTAATCCGTTAGGAAATAAAAGGTCGGATAGCCTGGAAGTTTCACTTGCCAATTTTGACACGGGGATCGTTTCGGGCGAGGCTGAATTCGGCCGGGCAATGAAACTTGGAAACCGATGAATAGTTTATCGATAGAATCTTACGATTCCCAGGGCGATCGCGTAGGGAGAGCCAGCGATGAACTGACCGTTTTACTTGGAAACACGACGGAGCCGTGAGACTTGGGTCGAATTTATAATTAACGCGGCCTGTAAATGGGACACCTCAACTGGAGGCCGATGTTGTTCCCATGGAGCCGAATATCGGGGATATCGTTTTCTTTATATGTCGTTTAAGCCTTCGTGAAAAAGCTTTCCCAGAAATTTTATCCAATTCTTTTAACAGAGATTCGTTCGTTTCTCCGGCTTTGATATCGACTTGTCGATTTCAATGAAATTTGAAAACTCGTCGATTTACTTACGTACACTTCTGAGAAAATATACTCTCTGGTTCCTTTTATATATTCTTCCCCTTTTTTATACGTGTATATTTTCAATCATATCATTATTATATTTTCAATTATCGGTAACGTACGAAATCTTAGAAATCGGGGAAACGAGAGAAAATGTACGCACCCACGAAGATCGATTCTCCTGTTTGTCCTTTCTGTAGGGTGACGACTGTGGTGAGATCACATCCTGAAGGATCGGTTGGCGCTGAAGCTGCGCCACGTATGCCATACGAAAAGCATTGCCGACAATGGTGTTTAATTCCTCCGCCTGCAAAGCAACTTCTATTTAATCGTTGTACTTCAACAAAAAAAAAAAAAAAAAAAAAAAAAATGATTATATTTGATTACGTTCGAACGTTTCAAAACATACCTAAATATTTATATCAGGCCAAACGGTTCATCTGAATTTAATCAACAGGCATTAATTAATTAATTAACACCGCATTAATTCGCTCTGTTCATCTTTTGCTCCTCCACGCTACGTGGATTCATCAAAGATGTACTGCAAATTACCGATGGTCGGTAAGAGGCGAATTCGCGTTTGTACCAAATAATCCCCTCCTGCCCGAAAATATCAAAACATCAAAATTCAAACTTGGATTACAAAGTCAAATTCGAAATTCAAATTTTAACTTCGTACTCAAATATGAATTTAAATTCAAAATTCAAATTTTAATTTCATACTCAAATGTGAATTTTAAAATTCAAACTTGAAGTCGAGTGGAAATTTAAATTCGAATCCAAATTTTAATTTCAAGCTTCGAGCTCGAAATCGAATGCAAATTCGGTGTCAAGTTCAGATTTCGAATTTCACGGAGAAGGAGGAGAGGAGAAAGAGAGGGAAATGAGGAACGAGGGGGAAGATGGTGGATACACGATACACAGCCGGGGGAGGCTTGCCTAAGCCGGATATATTCGAAATAGCAACCGAATGTGCACACGATGCTTGACGTTTTGCTATTCGCCAGAATACGGTGCGTTTGATATTCGCGTTCTCGCTGGAGATTGACCGGCGCGAATTTTTATTTCACGTTGTCACGTCCAGCGACAGGCGACGCACGAGCGACAGTCGACGAAACAATTTGTTGAGAGTTGATTCACGTAGCCACTTAGTTCACTCTTCGTCGTCCACTTTGCTATGGATTCTATGTGCAGCCAAACTATTCTCTGTGTCCTACTATTATTCAGCGATGATTTAGAAAATTTTTTTCTCTTCGACATTTATAGCAGACCTGTTACGCAAAATGTAGCATTTTTTTTTTTAGAGTTTTTTCTCCAATATTAGTAGTTAATTAATTTGAAAAATTCCTCTTCAACAGAGAGAATTGAGACTTCTCGTGTTTATCAAATGGACGTTTTAAATGGATTGTACTTTTTTTTAATAAACACAAGTGGCGTCATGAAAAAAATTGATATTAATAAATGAGACAGATAGTACGGAGAGGTCTCTCTCCATATTAGGTACGTTTTATTCGCAAATTTATTATTGGCAAACGCTTTAAACGCAGTAGGTACTAAGGCGCTGGCTCAATTCTATGTGCAAATCATCAGTAAGTTACATATATTTATGGGATACATTTATCACCTGATCCTTTTAGGACTACTCTGAAAGGATGAGAAATGGCGCTCTCCGAATGATTGAAATCCTCGCGTAATGTTCAAAGTGAAACTGTAGAAAATAATTGCCAACTCCCCACGAGAGCGTAACGTTAACACTCAACGCGTACAACAATTGTAAATAGTTTAAACGCGCAAAACATTCGTTGTTATGCGAGGCTACAGAAACACGTATTTCGAGATTTTACATTTACTTTCAAACTTTTACATTTTCCTCAGAGATCAATGTCACATCTCATGAAAAATCATCTGACAGACGAAATCGTTTCGATAATTTTCCTCTATACGCAAACAAACATTTTCAGTGGAAATGGAGACAGTTTGTTCTTTCGATGCAACTTTTCACTGTCGCCCACGGGTTCTCGATTGACGCTTTCAAATATGGCAGTCGTTTCCCACCAAGCTGCAAGAGCACACGTAAAATAAACAAAACAATTCCGGCGAACTTTCGTTTTATTTTCCGACACTTGCCGATCGTCGAACGGAAGGTCAACCAGAATTTTAACGAAGATCACGTAGATCAATCATGCGTGCATTGCGGGATTTGATAACCGCGGCGTCAGCGATCGGTTGTCAGTGGCCAGTGACTGCGAATTTGATCCCGTCTCTCGACGAACGTTATCCGATGCTTGGCTACGCTTGGAATTCGCAGGAGAAATCAGTCACAATCGGCGCTGCTTCCAAGAGCAGTTAGATGTACAGTATATTTATTCGTCACGCGAATTATTATTTTCTTGTAGGAAATACGTTTGCCTACTGTCAGATCGGTTTGCAGTTAAATCTGACGTAGTCTTAAAAAATACTTTAAATTCATTTAACGAAAATCTGACGATGACTGAAAACGTATTAGGGGCACCTAATCGTCGTTTCTTGATACTGTACAAAATTTTATTTCATTTAAGAGTTAATACAGTTTTAATCTATAATGTATTCATTATAAGCACACTAAATGTAAAATATATTTAGCTAATAATATAAGTTATGTTGCAATAATGTAGGTTATGTTACTAATAAGTTAAATTATTGTCGCTAGATGGCACACTAAATGTCAATATATTTTAGAACTAGAATATAGATTATG